AGTTTCACCTAAGTACTGTACCAGTGGAACAGCCACTGCAGACTCATCGTGACTTTTTAATGACTTAAATATCAAAGGAACTGAAAGAGTCTCACAACAAAGGAGGAAGCTGAAGGAGTGAGTCCCAAATGGTCATCTCAGTTGGTAAATGTTTGTCAGACCTATGTTTAATCACCTCCAGTGATGAAGACCCAAACCTACACCAAGAAAGCTGTTTTATTGCTTTGCTACCTAGTGCCAAAAAAACATTTTCCTCATGCTAACCTAAAATTCAATGGCTTTCATGCTAGTGATGCAGTCTTCTGTTGAAGTATTTTTTGGTAATTGTATGACACTGATGGGACGTCTTTTGTTGTGATCTTATTCAGAACTCATACTCAGCCTCATTTTTTATCCATAACATGGTTTACTGAGACTATGGAGTAAAACCTCACATTCCTTGCTGAGTTTTGTCTTTCCTTTTACCGACATTTTCTCCAATCTGTTTTGACAATTTTGAATCATTTTGCTATGCTTCACCTGTTTGGAAATATAATGTAAATATAAAATGAGCACTGTGCCCGTTTCATCATTGAAGAGAATATTAAATCTTATCAAGCCTGCAATAGACCACTGTTGTCTTTCATTCAATGCATCCTTCTGTAACAGTGTATTCTCACCAGCTTTGTACTAACTCTACATTAGGTTGCAAATACTGTTCCATTAGCTTCCTTATGAGAAAGGCACGTAGATAAATGTTCAAGAAATGCTTAAAGACTATTTCCTCACTAAGTGGTATTGTAAGGAAATGGCTGAGTGCAGTAAGGGAACAATAACCACCAGAGTACTCAGAGTTCATGAATTTCAGAGATTTGATTTTTTCCATTTAGAAAATATTTAAAAAGTAATAATGCTATTACAGAGCCTGTACTTGTTCGCAGTGATAGAGCACTGCAATGAGTCACTCTTACTAAGAAAAATTAAAACACAAATATTTATGGAATCTGTGTGTGTGACACATGTACCCACTCATCCAGTTAGCCAAATGAGCACTACACTCAGAATGACTGTTCTTCCATGAAGCATATGCCACTTTCCATCTGAGCTTTTAATTGCATATTAAAAAAAAAAAAAAAATTGCTCTGGCACTTTGGTCTTATTCTTTGCTGAGTAGCTGTGTTCTTCATGCATTAGAAACAAACAGTTGTTATGCAAATTATCAGGTTTTATAACAACTCAGATGTTCAATTTACCATCACTGGTTTCCTTACTAAACCAAATTAAAATTATGAGGAAGGACAGCTTTTTTTTTTTTTTTTTTTTTTTTTTTTTTTTGCCATCTTTAAAAACACTCACAGCAAGGGAAACCTTGGTTACCACAATACACATTTGTCATTTATCTGCTGTCATGATTGTCCTTCTCTGCTTATGCTTTACAAGAGACAGAAAGCCGCCTAGCAAATATTTGTTTTTATTTAACACTTAAATCCAAACCTGACTAACATGATGAGAAATACACAGCAGCTTGTGAGATAACTTGATTTGCTTTGGTCTTCATTAGTCAGTGCTTCTCAAAGCTAGTCAGGGTTTGTATTTGAATCATTCATATGTAAATATGTGGCTAGCAAGTAGTTGACCTGAGGCATTCCTTGCCAGTGTAGAAGAAATATGTCTCAAAGCTCTAGAATAGTAGAAGGTAGATCAGTGTTTAGGAGAACTGTCATAGCCACTTGCCTGAAGCTTACACTTCTCCAGCCCTCTGCTTATGGCCCCCTTAGTAGGGACAAGCACAGTCTTAATCACAGTAAAGAAAGTGAGGAGTTCACAGTAGTGCAGCCTAAATGCTGAGTAGTTATTTGTTCACCCACAGCCCTGTACAATTAAAAAGTAACTGTGTGAGAACATCAGACTCGGAACCATAGTAGAATTATATAGAACTATAGTGAAAACAATTTCAGGAAAACAACTACAATTCACAAATGCCAGGTTTTGGGGAGAAAAATAATCTGCTGAAAAATGCATACTTCATTAAAAAGTTAATGCAGTCAGAGCTGCATCTCAGTGTAAGTTTTTCAGCCAGTGGTACTATCCCCATCTAGTGTAGGACTTGGATGAAAGCTCACAGGTTTTATGTTATCAGTTGATAGCTGAAGAAGGTTCCAAAATGATGGGCTTCTGTGGCCAATCTCAGTTTGGAAGCTTTGCAATAGGTGAATAGGAAATAACCTGTACTAAGAGGAAGGTTTTTGTGTGAGAACCTCATGGGCCCCTATGGCCGAAGGCTGAAGACAGAAAAGATGTCAGTGAGGAAGAAAATGAGTGACATGCAAGAAAAATAGGTCACCTCCCAATCCACCATCATAGACATAAACTCTGGCAGCATGAGCCTTTGGGAAGGAAGTTTATTTTCCTCTTACTTGGCATAAAACATTGGCTGCAATACATAGATACATCTGCCAGTTCCATTACAGCACTGGTGGCCTTGCTATATCGTAAGGGGCCAGACAGTTTTCAGTTGCTGCTGTAGAATTGAACAACCCAGATTTTAAGTTTTACAAGATTTCTTTTGTAAGATAGTCTATGCTATTATAACATTAAACTAAATTGCTTGCTAATTCATCCATTGATAAAATGCGCATAAGAAGCGAGGCCAAAAATTGCAACCTGTACTTTTGGACAGATAAGGAATTATGCTATTTTTAAGAGAAAGTATTTGGTATGTTCTCAGGGGTGAAAAGTCTTTGAAACCATTGCCAGGGCAGCTGCCAAGAGGGTCTTTAGAGAGCTGTGGGGAGCACTAGGTTTGTAGATCCCAGCAGTTCCTCTGTGGTGATTACACATATGCAGAATGAAGGAGGTGCTGCTCTGCCCTTGCATAGATATTCAGTACTTTAAAATAGTTTGCCCCTCTCAGCTTGTGTGGGGTAAACAGTTTGATTTAAAAGCAGAAACTGAGAAAACAGTTCTGTTCCCTGACACGACTGCTGGAATTTTAAGAATGCTCATATCCAACTCATGGCTCCAAAAACCTGTATTTCAGTTCCTCATCAGCATTTCCATATATATATATATAGGTTTTAGCTGTCTTTAGCTTTCTAAAAGGCAGAAATGTACTGTAACATATTCGGCGCAATTTATAGGGAATGGAAAGAGGGAATCAAAATAAAAGGTAATTCCTCTGCTACATGTCTTAAACTGCTGTATTAGGATGAATTGTGTGACGACTGCCTGTTTCCACTGTATACAGGATGATTACAGAACGCATACATAGATGCTTAACTTTAGGACAACTGCAGTTAGGTGAGAAAATCTCATTCAGCAAAGCATGCATGTATATCCTAAACTGCAAACCCTCTTTAAAATGGAGCCTTAATGTTAAATAGAGCTTGATGGCTGATTATGTTATCTATCATCATAAAAATTATAAAGTGATTAAATTAACTGGACTCAAAATACTACTGATAATAGTCTGTCCAAAATCAGTCTGCTAAAAATGGACTTCCCTCCTTTCCAGGCATACAAAGGCTTGGTGCTCCTGCTGTTTAAAAAAACTCTAAAAGTCAAACAAAATAAGACAAACAAAAAACCCAGATCCTTAGAATTAAAGAAAATAAAAAGCACACTCAAATTTTAAAATATCTATCAAAATATTTACTTTTGTTTAAGAGAGGGAGGTGCTAGAAAAGATTGTTTCAAATGTCTCTAGTCATTTTCTTCAGAGCACAATCTCTAGTCCTCTGATTTTTTTTTCCTTTTTGGAAATATGTAACATAAGAGCATGTGAGAACAATTTTTCATGACAGATCGAGCGTGCATGAAACAGTATTTGCTTTATTTCAAAGTTGCACAGCCCAAATGCAGCTGTAATTTGCATTGTTTACAATTTTGCTGTAAACTGACTTGGGGCATCTGTCTACATTATGGCCAGACCAGGTGAAAGATAAGTAGGAAAAATGAAAAACTTCTAGCATAATTGATTTCCACCAAATAGCACTGTCTCTGACTGTTATAACAATTAGTTTATCAATTTAATGTTGATTATGCCTTGATCTGTAAGTAACAGGGTAGCAACACAAAAGAATAACCTGGCACTGTAGCCACAAGAGCATTAACACATATATTTTCTTTAAGTTATTTTCATGCCTATTAAGTAAAAGTCTGGTTTTACAGCAGTGTCCTTCTTTAACAAATTTTATTTCAGTATGCTCCAACTAAATTTATCCTGTGAAGGAGTAAGTTTGGGCTTAGAAAAGCTTTTTCTTTCAAGTTTATGCTTGAAAAGATAACAAATGCTAAACATGAATAGAGAGAAAAGAAATGCATCTCTCAAGAAAGTAAAAAAATATACTGTCTAAATAAACTGTAACTGTTGAATTATTTTTAAAATTAAGGTTTTTTTTTTGTTTTTGTTTTGTTTTTTTTGCTTGTTTTTTTTTGTAAGAAAGCTACTTCATGAGCTCAGAGAAGTTTAAAGAGGAACACGGCAGTCCTAAGAGAGTGAGGAATCCATTGACATAGAGATGGGAGCTTCAGAAGCAAGTTTCTGAGATTCACTTGATGTCTTCAGAGGATGTTTATAAGTACTTAATCTGCATAAGTTAGAAATGGAGCTAAAAACTTTGTGCATGTTGTCTTTTTTATCTTCTTTTCATGTGGGCTATATGCTGTATATTAGAGTGTAATTTATTTTCTTTGATTGAAGTAGTACTATGCATGTCAAAAAACAGGGTTTCAAGCACCTCATCTCAATAGAATAGATGATACAGTACTATTATGCCAGCAGGTTAAATAGTACAATCACTTAACCTGTTCAGGAAAAAATGAATAAGAAGTTAAAGTGCTATTAATAAAATTCTGTCTGAGCATGTCTAAGTATTATGTTGAACAATTGTGTACAGTTTCTTAGCAAATAAAAACTTCTGTTTTTCCTAGAGGTCGCTGAGCTTTCTTCCTGTGGCTGCTAGTGTACTGATACATTAGTGTAGTGATAGTGGACTGACATCTCCCCTTCTTGTTTGCAGATTTGTAGATTAACATGGAAGAAGGAAAAGTAACCTCCCAGTTCCTGCCTGGTGGTAAGTAAATAGGCCATTCGTAACTGACAAGCTGACCTATCCAGAACAACAAAGACAGCCATTCTGTGGAATTAAATATTTCAAGACATAGCTCTTTGAATTATTTTGAGCAATCTAATCCAACAAACATGTCCAGGTTCCTTTTCATAAATCAGTACATTCAGTGTGTCATGCAGGAGCACTCCTTCAGGAGGAGTTCAAAGCTGTGGGAGCAGCTGGCAGTGACCTGGTAGGCCAGATGGTTGGAAGGGACATCAAGGATCATGAAGCTCCAAAACCCCTGCCACATGCAGGGCCACCAGTCTCCCCATTTAATGCTAGACCAGGCTGCCCAGGGCTGCATCCAGCCTGGCCTTGAGCACTTCCAGGGATGGGGCATCCACAGCATCTCTAGGCAGCCTGTTCCAGCACCTCAGCACTCCTTCTGTGAAGAACTTCTTACTGACATCCAGCTTAAACCTTCCCTCCTTGAGCTTATACCATCCTCCTTGTCCTATCACTGTCTATCTTTGTAAAAAGTTGATTCCCTTTACCCTCTCTTTGTTTTATTATGTGGGAGGATCATTTTTATTTAGTGGTTGGGATAGGACCTCTGTTCTTTGTTGTTCCTACATTTCCCTTGGGTTTGTCAGCACTATAGACAGGAATGCTATGCATACAAACCTCTGCTCTGCAGAGGTGTGTAGCTAGATGAGTGATTACAAAGTCTTACCTCACAGCCCCAGGACCATTCAGGACTGCCTAAAAGCTGCTGTACCATCAACAGGCACCTGCTGGGAAAATGCCTGCTTCTGTTGAGGAAAAAAATCAGCTGCCTAGAGCAGACAAAATCCAGCATCTTCCTGGGTTAGAGCAGCACTGCCTCTGTGCAGAAGGGGACGAAGAATTCCCATGCAGTGATAGGGCAGATTCTGCCTCACAGAAAAGCTTATGGTGCCTGCAAGGACCTGGGCCAGAATTGCACCCAAGGGTGTTCTGCATGAGTCTCTACTGCCATCCCTTGCAAGGAGATGCAGCAGCACCTGGACAGAAGTGTACAGCTGGCAGCTAAGGAGTTGGAGTGACTGCTCGCTTTGTTCTGCCCAGATAAGAGCAGGCTGAGGATAGGCCATGTACCAAATGGACTTCCCTATCATCATGGTTCTGGGAAGACTGAAAGTCTGTGCTAGCACATCTTACCCTCTGTGCACAGGTGCAGTGCGATGTGCTCTGGATGCAGCTGGAGCCTCCAGGAGATGTCTGGAAAGCTGACAGAGATGACATGGGCAGGTAAATAAAAGTGTGGCCATTTATTTGATTCTCAGCATTGCCTAAGTGTGGGGTTCAGGGTTGAATTATGGGTGTATGATATATCTTCATCTTTCTGTGTGATATAAGCAGTGTATGCATACCAAGAGAAGACTACAATTAATGTAACCCCTTTGAATACTACATGGGATACGTTTCTTTGATATTGTTTTTTTCCAGGACTTATATATTTTGACTTAAGCAATTTAAAACTTAGAAGAAATAAAAGTCTTCTCTGACACTGATGGACAAAAACTTAAATACTAACTAAATCCTGTTTTCTAGACACTAAGTACTATTTTCTAGATCCAAGCACTAGAATATCAAAATGAAATCAAATTGAAAACATTAGTGAATTTGTAATGATGACCTCAGTATGACAGGAATGCATTGTGAGTTTTCTGGTTTGGAGAACAAATATTACTAAGAAGCCATTTCTATTAAAAAATTGTAAGCATAAATCATCAACTTAAGAAATTCTCATGCTGTTATTTAATCAGAAGTATAAAAAAATAAAGCAAATGCTATTTTGGACCAGCGAGCTTTTTGTTCTAAGTTATTGTCAAAAACATGTTTTTGTGCACTAAGTCAACATGCTGATATGGAACCTATTATTTTAGATGAGCATGTTATTTCTGGAAAATTTCATCAGTTTCAGTCAAAAGATTTTGTAATTTTTTTTCCTTAAAGAAAAACAGTGCATTAGATTTTTTTTTTCTCCCCAGACGTGTCAAAGCTGGCAGAAGCAGCATGATACTTGATTAAATCAACAAACTAGAAGACTTTCTTTTCTAACTTAAGTGCTTAAAACACACTTGGAAACACAGATTATACTTAGAACATACTGTAGGGTTAGCACTCATGTTTTCCTATTTCAGCGATGCATTATCAGACTTTATTTTAAAATTTATAGTCAGAAATATTTTCTCTCTCCCTTCCTTCCCTCCTTTCTTCTTGAGATGGTATTTTGTGCTGGATGTGGAGCTAGGTAAACTCCCTCTGGTGGTTAACTGCAAACTTAGTGATCGCTCCATTTCTAGGTTGATAAAGTAGCTATGCTAGTGAAGAAATGAATGTGTCAAAACTTAACATAAAAATAATTTAACTGGAGTCTACCTTCATGCTCCTTTGTAAGTGGATATTGAATTCAATCACAAAAACTATGGAGGTGTGCAGCAGAAAAGTATCATAAAGTAATCACAAGTATCATCTTGTTAGGCAGATAAAACATGCTCCATCTGTTGTTCGTCCAAAAGGATAAGGAAAACACTAAAAAACAAAGAAATAAAAAGTTACTTGCAACATTGAAAGATGGTAGTCAACTGGATCAAAACTATTGCAGACCACTGGCTGGTGGCCTTACATAGTTTGCTGTGTTTAGGAAAAAACATTTCACAGTTTTGAGTAATTATTGTAATTTGCACTCTAAAAGACACATCTCCTTTACAAAGCTATCTGAAACCACTGGGACATGGCTACTAGTTGCTATCACGTAAATCTCATGATGAGGTGTCAAAGAGCCATGTCAAAACCAGGCAATTTTCATTCCGGACTATTAACAGTAACATTTTATGTATCAATGAAAACATAGTTTTTGTTTGTTCATTTGTTTTTATATAGCTCAGTGCTCAGACCACAGATCAATAACTTTGTGTCTTTGGTACACAATAGTCTGAACAGTGTCTTTCTAAAGTGGCCTTCATACAACAGGGAGACAGATGGGCCCCTTTCTTCTAGGTTGCAGGACAGAACCTCTCACCTCTGAATCTACGCAGCTCCCATAGGCTTTTGCTCAGTTTTAGACTGTAGCCATAAATGAACAAAAAGCACAGGATTCATTCACTGCATCAAAGATATCTCTGTTTTATGGATATGTGTAACTACTGAGAGGTGCAGAATGCAACTCTTTTTTCTTGCCTCACAGTTTTCTTGAAAAAGGTGACTGGTGCATTAAGTTTGTAAAACTTGTTATTTTTGGCATCTGCTACCACTGAATGGTACCAGGGAGTCTGGATGTGTTGTTTATCTCCTTCATCCACACTTCACATATTTTTTCCAACTTTATTTATATCTGAAAAAGAAGCCACAGGGGAATTTTTAAAAGGGAAGCATCCAACACAAACAAGTGTTCCAATTCATGTGTAGCAAGATAGTAATCCTAAAACATGAACCAAAACCACTGAGATCATTCTGTCACAATATAAATCCTGTACATAGTATTTTCTTCAGAGTTCTTTGAAAAAAAAAAAAAAAAAAGATCTCGTGTCTCATATTTGTTCAACCTGATCAGTTATTTTTGTGTGTCTGAGCCTGTGATAGCTTTTTGCTTTATCGTGGGATTGTAGGAGGCAGAATTGGAATGGATCTCATCCCACTGCTAATGCTCATCTGTCTCCTGTCTGACAAAATGCATAGATCCATTTTTAGAGCATGAACTATTTTTCTTCTCATTCTGATTTTGGGAAAACTTGAGACAAAATTTTCATGTTAGAAAAAATAATATTTCATGTCTAAATAAAATCTGGTAAAATATGGTGAACTGTTCTGCCCATCTTTCAGTATGTTGCTAGGTTGACTATTTGTTTTTATTTTCCTTTTCTTTCTTGTGCTATTTTACAGCTATTTTTTTCTTTCTTTCTTTCCAGAATTGTTCTTTTCTAGCTTCTGCATTTCATTTGCCCTTATTTGCTCTGATACTTTCACAGATGCTGCTACAAAGAGAACTGATGGAAACAACTTTGTATAGAAGAACCATCAGCAACACAGATAAAGCAAACGGAAATGCAGTAAGCACAGGAACGATGCTGGTAATTGTTGATAATCATCTCAAAATATTTCTGATTAATATTTCCCTACTTTGACTGCATTTATATTGTGGTCTGGATCACATAATAATACAGTGATTATTCCACATTGCATCCTACCTGCTCTTTCCTACTCCTGTGCTCTGGCAATACCTTGTTTTTTTCCTCTGAGCGTCAAATTTCCTCCTCTTGTCTAAATCAATATTCATCCTCTTTGTGAGATTTTTTCCCCTCTCTCTTTCAGTTACTGTCATTACATCTGCATAGTTCTACATCTAGTGCTATTGTCATCTGGAAGAAATGACAACACGGGGCAACCTTTGTTTCAGATGTTCTGACATTCCTTTCAGCTCTGTTCCAGAAGGAGACATCAAGATTAGCAGCTGGTTTTGAAGATCTAGATTTATACATCATGATCTAAAATGAAATAAAAGTTATTTTATTTCATGGTCAATGGAGGAATATAAAATTCTGGGTTATTTATAAATCATTAAGCTTGGATATTTATATTTAATTTTATAACATATTTAAAAAAAAAAAAAAATAAAGTAATTGAGAAGCATGCTGTATTTCTCAATGTCTACCAGCAAAGATTTGTTTTGCTTGGAAATAGGGAAGAATAAACTGCCTCAAGCATGTATGGTAACATCTAGTTGTTTGGATGATACCCACATATTTCAGTGAGAACCTTGGGAAACCCCATGGAGTATTGGAGTCTACCCAGGCAGCCTTTTTTTGATGTAGGCCAGAATGGTGAGCTTTGATAGCAAGAACGCCAAGAATTACAAGTAATTCTGCATGGAAACAATAGAAAAAGAGGAATTGAAAGTAACCTAAGTATATCCTTACTATAAATATCATTATAATTCTGATAATGTGCAGGGGCTCTCATAACTCCTTGGAGATGTGTCTGATTTGGAGCTACGAGCCGTCTTTAGTGCTAGGAGAGATATTCCACAGCATCCATCTCGAAAGGCTGTGCTAAAGCAAAGATGATGATGAAGAAGACAGGACCTAAGGCTCCACTGAAGAGAGTAATGAACTAGTCCATCATAAAGCAGCTTGAAATATCAGCTCTTTGAAAGGGTAGGTAACAGCAGGACAAGGGGAAATGGTTTTAAGTTGAGGGGGGGAAGATTTAGGTTGGATGTCAAGGGGAAATTCTTCACAGAGACAGTGGTGAGATGCTGGAACAGGCTGCCCAGAGAAGTTGTGGATGCCCCGTCCCTAGAAGTGTTCAAGGCTGGACTGAATGAGGCTTTGGGCAGCCTGATCTGGTATTAAATGGGGAGGTTGGTGGCTCAGCCTGTGGCAGAGGGGTTGGAGATTCATGATCCTTGAGGTCCCTTCCAACCCTGGCCATTCTGTGATTCTGTGAAATACGGTTTTTAAGGAGTTTTTCTGTAAAATGCACTGAGCTGACATGAAGTGTAGTTGGAGTGTTAATAGTGCACATGTATTAAGATTTAGCTCAATTCCTTGAATCAAAGTTAATCAAGGAAGATGCCTGCATTGTCCTCTCATTGGACACCGGAAAGTAGATGAAGTGGATATATTTTATGTTACACAAATAATGACTATCTCAAAAAATTTGCTAACTGATGCCTGAAATACTGAGAATTAAAATATTACATTATTATCCCCAGAGCAACAGCTGAGGTAATGATTGTACAAAAAAACAAGTCTAATGAAGTCCAAAAGTAATGTAATGTTTGGCTTTCATGAGCTGATTTTCCCCAGCCACATTCTCACACCAGAGCATGTTTATTTCTCCAACTCTTTGAGCATGACATTTGTTTGCATGGCTTTAAGTGTTATGAAGCAGAGAAGGGACTGTGGAGGGATCTCTCAACGATTCTCTGCTACATCCACTGTGTGGCATTCCAGCTCACTAGAAAATTCAGAAGTTTCTTGGTGACCCTAATGGTACTGAAACTTTGGTTTTTTTTTTGCAAGACCACTGCAAGGGAAAAGAATCTGCTGCTGCATATTGTTGTTTAATGGCATCCTAAGTGTCTAGGGGTAAAGGTTGCTAAGGCTGAGGGCATGAACATCTTACTACTTATCTTGCCTGTTTTTGTCTTATGTAACATTAACCTTGACTCTTAGAGCATTTTGTAAAGTATTTTCTAGTAAAAGAAATCCTAAAACCTAAATTCCTCTTCAGTCATTAATTATAAAAGATCTGAATGTTTTGCTTCTATTTCATTTTTAAGGAAAAAGACTTGGACTGCGTATTGCACTATCAAATTCTTTGTCCTCAAACCAAGAGAAAAAGGCAAGCAAATGTAAATCATATTAATGCACTGTGGAACAGAAAGAGAGAAGAGTTCATTAACAAATGAGGAAGAACTGTTCAGGCAAAATGAAATAGTTCAGTTATTTCCTGGGAGAATAATAGCAAGCACTCTCTGAATATTAACTAGTGGAACTAAAGCATGAGTTTTACATTCTGAAACAAGGGGATATTTGCCAGAGGACTACTGCTGGACCTGCTGATGAGTACGCTGACAGTGCTTTCTTATTCTGAGCAGCATGATTTTCTGCAGGCAAGCTCATTAAGTAAATAAATTATATTTACACATACAAAATATATATTTCATAAGAACAGATCTTTGAACTCCCCTGTCTGTGTAAGCTACACTGTGGATTACAAAAAGGCAGCACATAAATGGTTGCTTGGCATGAAAGCAACATGTTTGTCACGTCAATAGATGGTCACCTGCCAAAAGTTGCCCACAACTTTTTATCTGCTTATGTGTCAGTAGTATATTAATCCTGGTTGTCTACAGGTAAATGTAGTATGCCAAGTTTCCAGGGAGTATTCAATGGACACTGGGGAGCATCCAAAAAATTATTATGTTCATGCATATTCATGCACCCTGCTCTGCACAGTCATGCTATACCTGCTGATATTTGCTGTGAAAGAAAATAACCCGTTCAAACTCAGTAAATCCATCTGTTGCCTTAAATTGCCCAGACATGTTTAATATGAGCAGAACATTCCAGAAGTGAAAATCTCTGAGACCTTAACATGCTCCCAAAGAAATACCGGAAAAACAAAACTCTGAATTACTTTTCTGTCTGTCCAAGTTGTTGGTATCAGGGTGCACCGGGCAAGGACAAGTGAATTTTCCAGCCGCTGCAGGAGGACTCCTGGTCACCCTTTCTGCTCTGGCAGGCACAGCTGAGGTCAGTAAGACAGGGCCTGTGTGCTATCTGGAGATCACCAAGACTATGTTTCACAGCAAGCATTTGAGACAGGTCAGTATAAACACCTGCACTGTATTTGAGCTACTGACTTCTGAGGAGGAATTTTTCCTAATTGGTCTGTGTAGAGAAAGCTAATATAAGGGGAGGAAAAAGCATGTATTGGTTGGAGAGTGGATAAGAACCTCCATCTGACCCAAAAGTGTCTTGTCTGTGACAAAGAAAAGTGAAATAAATTGCAAGGTCACTGCACTCTGCTTGTCTCAGACTGTCTTTCATGTTCAATAAATGATGTGCGATTATAGTAAGCAGCTAGCTTTTAGGGAGTGTATTTTGGCAGGGGCTCTCCCCCTTTCCTCGATGCTGGTACCATGGCTTTCTGCCATGGTATCCTTCTATCCTCCTACCTGTCAAAATACTTCAGTCTGAAAGCACTAACTGCTACTGACTGTGGAGTAAACCTTGTGCTACACAGCTGTGTCTGGACCGTGTCTTGCAGTAGCAAAGTTGCTGGGCAGAGGCCATGGCCCCTGACATCCACAAGGACTATCCTGGTATCAGTGGGAGTTTCCTCTCCATACCAGAGATGCTTTTTTGGAGCTAGCAGGCTATTTTATCTAGGTCTGTTTGTGCAGGATGCAGCAAAGTGATTGTCACCTGCATCTATTTTTCTCTTTTTTGCTTTCCAAAATGTCTCTATCAGGATGTGGATTTTATGTTTTATATGTAAGAGTTGTATTTCTTCTCACTGCTTTCCTACAGAAACTCTGCATTTGAATTTGTTTCTTTTATGTGTAGCATAAACAGAAGACAGATTTTGTTCCTTCCCTCTGCTGAACCTCTCATTAAAAATGACTGATGCTTGTTTATCCCCTCTTTTGTACTTTGAACAGATATTAAATCCTATGCTTTGAAAAAAATATATAGTAGGGAATCATGAATTCATCACCATTTATCAAGCACTTTGATGTGCCCACCCTGCAAATTGAGAGCACAGATACATTCATTTGTCTGCTTGCAGTGAGTTGTAATTAGACTTCTGGCAAGCTAGAGACTGTTTACTTGTAATGCTTCAACACCACAGAGCTAAACTAGCTTACTGCATTTTACGACATTCACTGAATAATAATAATAATAATAAAATCAGATAACATATTAGTATTTTGCAGTGCGATTGCACGCTTGAGCCCATGTCATCAACTGGGAGCCCACTGTGTTAGGTGCTTACAAGCATGCTTACAAGCACTGTATGTTTTGGCCCAATCAAAAACGTCTTACAGTTTAATTGATCACTGCTGAGTTAGACAGGGGTTTTTTTGAGCCAATTTAACTTCCCACATGAATTTACACCTTCTGAGACTTGCTGCACAACTGTGTCCCGGAACACAAGCAGCATTTAGGGCAACAGCATTTCATTTCTCCTCTACAGTAGGTGTCTTTGTTGCTCCACCGCCCATTGGCAGATGGATTCCCAAAGGCAGACTTGTCCATCCATGAGGGGATGGCTTCAGCATGAGCACCAGCTGCAGGCACACAACCAGAGAAGAAAACATTGGTGTCAGCCTCTGGCTGGCTCGTAGGACATGAGGAGAGCCACTGTTTGTGGACACAATCTTTCCCAACTGTCTTGATTCCTAAGCGTTATGAATGATTGACATAGCTTCATGTTCAAGAAATACCAGAAGAGAAGACTGCTGAATGGCTGGCCCAAAGCAGGAAGGCAGAAAGAGCTCTTTAATGGTGCCATCTGGCACAAATAACCCTTAAGACTTCTGTAATCTCTTTCACCAGAGAAGATAAAATCCTATTTTGAATAGTAAAGCCTTCGTATTTTAAAAAAATATTGTATATTTGGAACAAAACTGTTATGGACTGTTATTAAATTCTGATTTCCTAACAGTTCTGTGTGAGTTCATAAGTACACTGAGTTTTGAATCACTAAAATCAGCATGGGGAAATTTGTATTCTGGTTGGACAAGACTTAGTGTTTGTGTGTGTGTGACTGAGTGCATATAGGGAACAGTTTCCTAACAAAAGGAAAGCTGGAGAGCTATCATACCTTAAATGAAGCCCCAGAGTTAATAAAGATAGCTCTACCTCAGAGCAGGCTCTTTACCAATTATTTATCCAGGAATTAATGCATACTGCAATATACTACTCACAGAATCACAGAATGGCCAGGGTTGGAAGGGATCTCAAGGATCATGAATCTCCAACCCCCCTGCCACATGCAGAGCCACCAGCCTCCCTACTTATTATTAGACCAGGCTGCCCAGGGCCCCATCCAACCTGGCCTTGAACACCTCCGGGGATGGGGCATCCACAAGCAATGGGCAGCCTGTTCCAGTACCTCACCACTCTCACAGTAAAGAACTTATTCCTTGACACCATCTGAGTTTCTTACTGATGTTGAGGAGACCCCTGAGAAAAACAGGTTTTTAATGTTTCTGTCAGTTCATACCCACCAGTTTTACTGTACTTTTCATTAGTCTTTTCTATTTTTTCAATTACTTACTGATGTCTTAAACTATAAATGTTTAAAGGCAGTATAGACCTTTCTGTGCTGTATGTAATTCTCCCCTGCCAAAAGAATTTTGACTCCCGTGATCTATGACCAAGGGATTATTTTCAGTGTGATGAGATGTAAACAAGACTATATCCCACTTGTTAATTCTCTCTGGTGAATAGTAATTAGCCATAAATTTTATTCATAGATTTCAGAGGTATGAGGAACTAATACATCCTCATGACTTTTATTGCAATATATCAAGCAGCAAAATCTAGAAAAGCTTCAAAGCTCTATCTATACATTTTGTCTTTTGTATATCACTATCTGTATCTTTTCTCCACTTATTGTAACAGCGATGGGCTTCTTGTTCTTAATTTTCCCACTACTAATAGCTGGTTCTGAGGTTAGATCTCATGTCACATAAGGTAACGCTACCACAAGCCAGTACCGATATGGAGGTGTTTATGTTCT